CCTGCTTTGTGAGGTCCCTAAATAGTTCTTCCTCAGAGAGAGATCTGGCCTTATGGGTGAACTGTGTAGGCTTGCTTTCAGGATATCTTCTTTTGCTTTGCTTGGTTGATAAAAGCATAGTCACAGATTCATTCTTTTACCTAGTATATGTGTGTTGTCGGGGGCTGTCTTCTGCAGCCACCACATTGGGTGTCTTCTATGGGAAGTGGCACAGAGTGTTACTTACACAGGGCAGGACCTGGTCCTTCAGGGGACCTGTATTAGTCTTCTCAGCTGCCATAACAAAATACCACGGGCTGGGTGGCTTAAACAACAGACATTTATTTTCTCACAGTTCTGGAGGTTAGAAGTCTGCCCCATACTGAATGTTTGTGCCTCCCTCCCCCCCATTCATATGTTGAAAGCCTAATCCCAGTGTAATGGTATTTGATGTGAGGCCTTTGGAGGTAATTAGGTCATTAGGGTGGAGCCCTCAGGTATAGGATTTGTGCCCATATAAGAAGACACCAGAGAGCTAGCTAGCTCTCTCTCCACCAGATGAGGATATAATGAGAAATCAGCAGTCTGCAACCAACCCAGAGGAGGGCCCTCACCTGACCTTGTTGGTACCCTCATCTCAGACTTGCAGCTTCCAGAGATACATTTCTGTTGTTTAAAAGCCACCCAGCCCATGGTAGTTTGTTGTAATATACCAAACTGACTAAAGTTCAAGATCAAGGTGCCAGCAAATTTGGTTCCAGGTGAGAGCTCTCTCTCTGGTTTGCAGATAGATGCCTTCTTGCTCTGTACTACTCACATGGCCCATCTTCTGTGCATACAATCAATGACAGAGAGAGAGAGAGGACAGAGAGCACAAAATTAGCTCTGGTGTCTCCTCTTTCTATAAGGACATTAGTTTTATTGGATCAGGGCTCCAACCTGATGGCCCCATTTAACCTTAATTACCTCCCTAAAAGTCCTATCTCCACATATGCTCACACTGGGGGTTAGGACTTCACTATATGGATTTTAGGGATACACACTTCAGTCCATAAGAAGACCCATGTGGCACACCCGTATGAACTGATGTCTGGCCCTTGTGGGTTCCAGCATTGATGTCTTCACATGTCACCTGACTTAATCCATTCTGGGATTCACCTCCTGGACTTTTCCAATAGTCTCTATCCACAAATGAACTTTTGCCCCTTACCTGTCTCCATCCTACACACATTGCTTCAGCTCCCCCTTCCTACTTCCTGCCCCTGTGTCAGAGTCACCTGCCATGGGCATCTTGCTGCAGAAGAGGGTGCATTAATCCATGTCATTTTTGCTTCTACCATGTACAAGACAGATCAGGATCTATGTCAAAGATTCATCTTGGGAGAAAACTCCATATTGAAGTCCCCAGGGCCTGGAAATTAGCTCTTGCCCTTCAGTAGATATTACTGTGTGAGGTGCTCTGCTAGGACTGAGGAAGATGTAGTCTCTATTCCCACAGTGGAGGGGATCCCTTTCAATCCATGATGAACTGTCAATTTAACAAGAAAACCCTGAGTGATTTATTAAAAGATAGACTTTGACAGCAAAGTATTTGCAAACATATATCACCCCTCTGGAAACCATAAACCTGCTCCTGTTTGTGGCGATGCATTTATTCATCCAGCAATCACACGTGTTCATTATAGAGGGAGTGTAAGTTGCCAGCAGAGGCCAGAGTAGGTGAGACTGGAAATTTAGACAGGATTCAGATTATGAAGGCCTTGTGTTCCTAGCTGAAGACTTTGTTCTGCAGGTAATAGGAAAGGTAGAGGCACAGGGGATTCGTGTGACTCTGAAGTTGTGGAACCCACAGGATATGGACCATGAGGGCAAGGGCTCACTGCATAATAACCCCTGGCTTCTGGCTGGTGAGCCTGGGGGGCTGACTTCTAGAAAGGGAATGCAGAAGTCAGAGCAGGCTTCTGGCAGGGGTGATGGTTTTGCCTGGGGAGCATGGAAGTGGCAGATGCCAGGGGGGCATCTAGGTGGGGATTCTGAGAGTCTGTGTTTCCCTTGAGCCCTGGTGCTCTGTAAAGAGACCTTTTCTTCTCACTCTCTCCTTCTTTGGTACCTGCTTCTGTCTGAAAGCCTTTCTCCTTCTGCCTGGCTCATTCTCAGGCCATCTTCAAACTCCTTTCCCGGAGTTCCTTGGAGGGATCCTCCCCAGGAGTACCACTTTATCCACCAGGTCCATGGCTGACTTTAGCCCCTAAGCGTGATTATTTTGTCACAACTGCTGTCCTGCCTGGACGCAGCCTGAACCCCCCTCCCCCCACCCCTTTCCATGGGCTCAGGCAGGACTTGGCTTGTCTGTCCCCAGCTGTTTGTGCTTCCGGGTTGGATAGCCAGCTGCATCTTGTGGCTCCCTAATTACCTCTTTACTAAAACACTGTAGAGTCCTAAGCTCTTCTAGGTACAGACTGTTCCTGGGTACACTTAGAACTTAAGGAAACAGAGAGACAACATTAGGACATTGCTATCACAGAGCCTTTTTGGAAAGTAGACCCAGTAATATAAATAAATGCATGATGAAAAAAAATCAAAACATAGGATGTCCAGGGTCCTTTCCTGGAGGGGAGACAGTATAGAAACAAGGCTCGGTCTTTCAGGAAATGCATTTCATCTCCTTCCTCATTTTCTCAAACTCAGGTCAGAGAACCTCTTATTTCAGGTTCTGGTGAAAACACGAGGTAGAAGCCCTGTTTCTGAATTATAATAATAAATATTATAATAATAATATAATGCATGTTTTATGCCATTTAATCCTCATAGCAAGGCTATACTTACTGTTATATACTGTTATTATTCCTTTTTTTTTTTTTTTTACAAGAAAAAGACATGGAGCTTAAACAGGTTACGTCACTTGTCCATGGGTCCCACAGCATGGCAGTGGTGAGACTAGGCTCAAACCTACCTACCCAGGACGCATGTCGCTGTGTGTATACTGGGCCTAATAGTGTCTTCCCCAAATTCAAGTCCACTTGGAGCCTCAGAATGTGACCTTATTTGGAAATAGCTCTTTGTGGATATGATTAGCTAAGATGAAGTCAATGCTGGATTAGGGTGGGCCCTAAATCCAGTGACTGGTGTCCTTATCGGAAGGTCACATGAAGACACAGAGACATAGGGGTGAGAAAGCCAGGTGAAGATGCAGATTGGAGGGATGGGTCCTCAAGCCAAGAGCACCACGGATTGCTGGCGACCACCTATGCCAGAAAAGGATCTTGGGACAGATTCTCCCTCAGAGCCTCAAGAAGGAACCAACCCTGCTGGCATGTTGGTTTCAGACATCTAGCCTCCACAACTGTGCACTGATAAATTTTTGTTGTTTTAAGTCACTCAGTTGTTACAATACCCCAGGAAACTGACACACTGGACTATGGCTGAATTAATTTTTCAAATCATTTCTGAATAGTCAAAATGATAATCATTTTCCAGGTACTTTCCATCTTCTTCCAGTGTTGATTTGACAAGGCTTATTTTAACCTAGATTCATTTCCTCCTTTATACAAAATTTCCTGGTTTATTTATGTATAGGTGTGCCATCTAGTGGCATGAAGTGAGAAATGCTTGTTATTTTTAGAAATGGCTATGATTTGAGTAGTCTCATTTGCTTGTTCCCTGAAGAATATCAGAAAGAAAATCCTGTAGTAGAATCTTTCCTAAATATCTGTCTGAGTGACACAATATAATTCAGATGATTTTCTAAAATTATATCTAGGTTTTAAAAGAGGTAAAATTAAGACATTAATTTTAAGTCGGACTTACAGCAAAAAAAATTTTTTTTGGGGGGGCATTATTTTTACAATTCAGCGTATTATGAGGAAGTTTGTGTCAAAAATACATGAACCTTGTGGGAATATCTTTTAGTTTTATTGTGAATTAAAGTAACTTTAGTAACTTAACCAACTTTATCTCTGCATCTACAGATCTACCTACCTATCTCCATATATGCATATTTTATAAGATTTGATGTTATTATTGGGAGATTATTATACAAACAGCATTAACAGATTTAGCTGCATTTAACCTACATACATAGGGTAATTCTGCCATACAAAAATAGAATGAAAATGGATTATGCTACTTTCAACCCCACTGCCTTTTTGTAATGGTGAATGACGTTGTTTTCAAAATTACCCATGGGTTAGTCCTCCTGGCAGTGCCCCAATCATCTCACACCAGGAATGGAGGAATTCTCACTGTGTTCTCCTCCACCTCGTAGAGCACTGCTCAGTTAATCCTTGCAAGGCTCTACTTTCTTCCCCTGCTAAGTCAGTGGATTTTTTTTCTCTTACCTTTCCAAGCTTCCTGCTCTAGGGCCCCGGACTAAGGAATGATGGTGTCACCACCCCTCAACATTTATCTTACATGATTCAAAGTAAAGCATCCCCTGACCCATAAAAGACACAGGTTACATCTACTTTGGAAGGTAAATAGCCCCTTCTTAGAATTTTGGTTTGCAAAATTCTTGATAAACTTGGCCAAGTTTAAGATTTCTCCTTTTCAGGGACCTCTGCTTGCTCATGCCCTCAACAAGTACTCAATTTGCTTCTTAGATCACGCACCTTAGTTGTCAAACTGATTTGCTTCAGTGCCTCATTTATAACCTGTCTCCCTTGTTGCTCTCCTTCCTCAGCCCTCCCTCTCATGCTGACTAATGTTCGTTCTGGTGTCCATGACAGACTTGTGCTCGGCTCTCACCTGAAATGGTGCTGTCTCTCTCCATGAGCCAAGTTCCAACAATTCTCTAAGGCCCACACCAAATCATGCCTTCTGCAAAGGCAGGAACATTTTTTAAACCCACTTTGGCCCTGCCAGCATCAACATGTGTTCTGTTTTTCTTCATCCATAACTGAAAATTTGGAAAGACCGGGTGGCTTTCCATGGAACACTTCAAGATCTCTTTTTAAATCGTTCATTTTAGACACCTTGTAATCTGAAAGATGTAAACAGTGGAAATACTGCTTGGCAAAACCCAATAAAGAAATCAAGAAAGATTTTATTTTATAACTCTCCCTGGATGATGCATGGCTTGATAGAGCAATATGTTTTAGATTGATAGCACTCGGCAGAGCTTTCTGTGGGGAATATTGTTGACTCACGTACAACGAATAATTTTTATATTGAAATTCACTTCTAGCTTATCTGATGTTTCTATCTGCCTGGAGACATTAGCAAACATAAAAATGAAAAAAATATTGGCATATAACAAGAGAGTATTTTTAATCTAGCATTTTTACTAGAAACACATTATTGCTTTTTTAAATGGAAAAGCCAATTATTTTACACTCACAACAGAATCATTCAAATCATAAAACATCCAAGAAAGTGCTTAAAAAAATAAAAATGATTGACTCTTCAGACTCTGATTGCCCTGACACTGTATGTTCTAGCTTGGGAATTTTCTGATCTTGTAAAAAGGCCATCTTTGTTTCATCTCTTCTTCCCACAGACCTAAGAAGTTTTTGGTTGGGGAGAGGGCAGTTACTTACGCTTAGGAAATTTTGATGTGACATTCCTGCCCTTTGGAGTCCTTTTTTTATGACTGGATTTTCAGTTTCTTCCACAGCTTGTTACATGATGCCAGGAATTAATCATTAGTTGTGGCTGCGAAAAGGAAAAAAAAAAAAAAAAGGAAACAATAACTATAATAAATACATAATATATTTACTTGTTATATTTAATAAATAATAAATATGTAATACATAAAACATAATAAAATATAATGAACACTCTGTGTTGGTGCTTGTTATAGTGAAAATAGTAGGCACTGAACTATTTGTCACTAGAGGTGCCTGTTAAATTGCCATGTGCTACAAAATCTTTCTCTCTTTATTTTTATTACTTTTTTATATACATATAGAGAGAGATTGAAAGCAAGAGTGCCGGAGAGGGGCAGAGGGACAGAGAGAGAGAATCTTGAGCAGGCTCCATGCTCAGTACAGAGCCTGATGCGGGGCTCAATGCCACGACCGGGAGATCATGACCTGAGCTGAAATCAAGAGTCAGACGCTGAACTGACTGAGCCACCCAGGCTACTAGAAAACAGAAGCCTCATACACAACATGGCTACCATAAGCTTTGTTATTTGTATCTTGATCAAATCAAGGCTATGATAATTAGACATTCAATTAGAGTTAGATGTCAGAGCTGTTATTGTCAAAACGCGGAATCTGTTGCATACATAATACATGTTAGAAATAGGCTCTCCTTTGTAAGCAATGTGAGATAGTCAACATATAAGGATTGGCTGTTCCTCTTGCATGAATAAGATGTAAAAACTGGAGGAGGCCTACAGTCTACATCCTTAGGGGAAATACTACACGCTCAGTCCCTAATGGTCCCGTGTCCCATTGGTGTAAGATGATTGCTTGCTGATGCCTAAAAGTCTAACAGAATGTTGCCTCTATGTGCTGTTGTATCTGCCTCAAGTGAACTTGTCAGGAAACCTAAAAGGGATCCAGGAAGATGGGACTTCTGTTAGCTTACGTGGAGTTTTGTGCTGCTTGCTAATGAGTGTGTGGTCAACACGTACCTGTATACATGTTACCTTTGCTTTTGTTATAGCCTGAATAGCAAGAGTGGGGCCACAGCTCACCCTTATCTACATCAAACTGCTCTATAGGCTCCTGCTAAGGTCAGCTTCTGGTAGCTGAGGTTAGTTAGTAACAGTATATAAACTTGCCTTTGTAAAATGCCTTAGTTGAGGGAATACATGTCAACATCTTATCAATCAACATTGATAATTGGCTAGACTGTATTGCCCTTTGGCATAACTAAATTACATAGCATGCTAGATGATGAAAGTCTTATTAAAAAAAAAGAAAAATAGAGCAAGGTAAGAAGAAGCAGTTGTGGGGGCAGAGTAGTTGGGTCCTCTGGGGTCTTAGCTATTTTAAGTACTTTGCCTTTTTCTCTGAGACAAATAGGGGGACATTGCAGGGTTTTGAGCAGAGGACTGACATAATCTGATGTAGGATCATTCTGATAGTTGGATTGATAATAGTCTTGGAGAGCTGGGCTGGAAGCAGGTTCACCAGTGAGGATGCTTTTTTGGGAATCCAGGAGAGAGATGACGGTCTCTCAGGCATCAAGGGTATCCAGGAGTGGTTGCAGCTAGATCTGTTTTATAGTTAGAGCTTACTAGATTTGCTGATGGATTTCATCGAAGATATAGGAGCAGGAAGAGCCAACAATGACCCCCTTTTGGCCTCAGCATCTGGAAAATGGAATTTCCATTAGCTGAAAAATTGAAGCCTGGGATGAAGTAGGGTTGAAGAAAATAAATAAATATGGGGATATCTTGTAATCCATAACTGCTATAAAAATGTCAGCCTGTAGAATTTGGCGTGTTTATCAAGTCTATGTAATTTAGCATATTTTAGTAAACTGTTGCTTTTTGCCTAACGTACTCTTGTGTAAATTTCCTGGTTTCTGATGATCGCATCACACCCCGCACAAGAAATCTGCTTTCATTTGCTCTGATTGCTTCTTGTCTCCCTGACAACCTCCTGCCCTGCCTCCAGTCCAGCACAGTGCTGAGATAAAGATTATTGGCGGGAATTGGCGGGAACCAGACCATTTGCACCTGTTAGCTAGTGAGGAAGTTTGCCATCTGCTTAGCTTATGAAATCACTTAAAGAGCAGAACATAGTTTCTGTCACCAGTTTGCCTCCAACAGTCATTAGTAATGTGAGATGTTTATTGAATTTGGGGTTCCTAGGGTCTGGCCTGTCAGGATCTGGTTCAACTTTTAGATTTCTCTTTCTTGGAGACTTCACAGAAAAACCTCATGGTGCCAAAAATATACATGATATGTTAAGCATTAGCGTGGAGTAGTGAGGTGAGATGTGCCATCCAGATCCTAAGAAGGAGGAAAAAAATGAAACATTCAAAACATCATATTCTTGTTTACTTAAAAAATTACTAACGTACTTTCTAGCCATGGTAACAAGTAACAGAGACTGGATTCAATCTCTAACATAAAAAAGGAAAACCAGACAAAATGTAGGAAACAAAGGTTTCCACACATTGGCTACGAAGCAATGCAGGACTGTGATCCTTGAGGAAAGGACAACCAAATCAGTAAGATGAGCTCTGGAACTGACCCAAACTGTTGCCCAAAGGCAGTTTCCAGGCTGCAGAGTGTGGAAGTCTGGCTGAGTTGAAAAGCTTGAAATTGGAATTCTGGGGGCTAGATGCCTGGAGTTTGTGGGACAGAATATCAGGGAAGAGAGCTACAGAGAGTTTCTGAGACACGCAGATGGGTCCTCTCTGGTCTTTGGCCGAGCTCTGATCTGCTCGTGTGTGAGAAGACACTCAGCCAGCACTAGATCAAACATGTCCCAGAGCTCACACTGGGTTGGGAGTATATCATATCCCCACAAGCTAGAGTGGGGAGGCCTTGTAAGATGTGGACATTGAGTAGGATGAGAAGAAGGGGGTTAACACGAGACTGCCAGTTTCTCCTGACCCATCCTGGTGAACTTTAAAGCAAGTTTCAAAAGGATGAAACTGTTCCTAAGTAACTTGGGTCTAAGTAACTGCGTGCTAAAATAGAGTCCAATACTCCTTAAAGTGCTACAACAAAATCCAGTACCCCGCAAAATGTAAAATTTACAATATCCAGCCAGCATCCAATCCAAATGAACAGGTATATTAGTTTCTTGGAGCTGTCATAGCAAAGGCACACAAACTGGGTGGCTTAGGATAACAGAAATGGATTCTCTCACAAGAGAATTAGTTGAAATAGATGTTGCAACAACTATGATAAAAATTCTCCATATGCAGGGTGCGTGGGTGGCTCAGTCGGTTAAGCGTCTGACTTTGGCTTACGTCATGATCTCAAGGTTTGCATGTTCGTGCGCTGTGTGGGGCTCTGGGCTGACAGCTCAAAGCCTGGAGTCTGCTTCAGATTCTGTCTCTCTCTCTCTCTCTAACCCTTCCCTGCTCACACTCTATTTCTCTCTCAATTATGTGTTCTTTTGGGTTATTTTTTATATAATTTCATCTAATCTCTGTAATAGCATAGAAGACAGAGATTAATATTGTAAGTCATAAGTAACCCCTTAAAAAACTTTGCAAATGCGAGTCATGGAAATTTTCATAGTTCCTTCCTTACTTTTAAATGGAAATAATAATACTTAAACCTCACAGATAAGTTGTGATGATCAAGTGAAAGTTTTATAAATTACCTGGTATATAATTGACTCTTATTAAAGACTAGCAAGTATTTTTGTTAATAAAAGCTGAGGCAATGACAAAAGCAATTATAGGTCCAATTATGATAGACCTATGATGGATGAGGCTGACCACAATAGTTTAATTATGATGGTTTTGATTTATTGCTTTTGGTAAGAACTGTACCAATTCAGACAAGCTGGGATAAGGCGAAAGTCAAATTTGAGTGAGCAGTCTTAATTACAGAATTTGAAGAAATGGTTTTTGATTATTGTCAACTACCTGCAGTAATTTGAACCAGGCAGCAAAGTTTTGCCTAGTATATATTCTTAAGGGACTGGGCTTTAATGATTACATAAAATGATCTTTCATTAGCATAACAGGCTTTCAGTTGCTATAAAACAGTTTCTTTACATAAGCAGTTTGTTTTCTTTAGCGATAGTATAACTCCTATTGGAATGATTTGACCAGCAACAACCATATGACAATTTCTTTATAGAGCCAGGCACCAGCCTCAAGGCACCAGCTGAGGGCTATAGCCCTGGCCATTGGGGCACCTGCACCCTGGGGAGCCCCCCTGTGAATGCCTGGCCTCTGGTGATGCCACTTCTTTCCTGTTGTTCCTCCACCTGTGGTGGTGGTAGCTGCTTCCTGCAGTTAGTAATATCCAGATTATTTTAGCCTGAGAATTTTTGCTCTTTCAGTGCTCCAACAACCATACAACCAAGTCCTGAGTTAAATCCCCTCTGTTTTAAATACCTAGCATAACTATTCTCTTGACCAGATCCCAGCTGATAGCATATACCAAGAGAAACAGTTGGCACCGACCAGACCAGAGAGATGCCAGAGATGGGGCAGAGGGGCAGTAACCAGAGAACGAGCTGGAGCTGTGTGGGGGGCAGGAACTAGAAGGAGGATTTCTAGGGCAACCCACCCAGTTGGTTGATGATGCAGCTTTGGCAGAGTGTGCTGTCCTAGTTGCGCCCCCACCAGCGTTTCCTGCTCTCTAGCTGAGTGGCCTTGTCAAAGCCTCATCCACTACTTAGAGCATGGGTCTTCAGTTTGCAAGTGAAGGTTAGTCCAGAGGAATTCCATGCCATGCTTCTTTTTGGCTGTAAGTTTCTCTTGAATGGTTGACAGTTTTGCCCAGGTCCAGGTCGGGAAGACTCTCCTGTTTCTTTCCATATACTAAGGGAATACAGGATTAAGAAAGCAGAATGATTTGGGCCCCTGGCATGCACTGCCTCCTGAACAGGTAGCAGAAAGGTTTTGTACAGCCTCTGTCAGGTTCAGATACCAGTCAGCCAGAGGAGGCAGCACATGTCAGACTTGGCCGAAAGCGCTGCCACATGGCACTGACCATGTCACAGTGCAGCATGTTACATGTCAGTATGATTGTGTTTGAATGGTGGTCATTCCAAGTGTGGCAGCAAGATGAAGTCATAACCAGAAAGCTAATTAGGTTCCTGGGATGGTGCAAAAGGAGGCACCGGGTGGGATTCCTGAATATGGTATAATTAAAATGACTATGCATGTTTTCCCATATATAAAATGTACTGCCTTTTCTGAATAAGTTTTACAAGAAGGAATAAAATCTAATTGCTTGCCACTTAAAAAAAATTTTTTTTAATGTTTATTTTTGACAGAGAGAGAGAGAGAGAGAGAGAGAGAGAGAGACCGAACATGAGCGGGGGAGGGGCAGAGAGAGAGACACACACAGAAACCGAAGCAGGCTCCAGGCTCTGAGCTGTCAGCACAGAGCCCGAAACAGGGCTCGAACTCACAGACCACGAGATCATGACCCGAGCTGAAGTCGGATGCTCAACCGACTGAGCCACCCAGGCATCCCAGTTTGCCACTTTTTAAAGAACTGGACTTTTTATTTTAGGTCTATTGTATGTGGCAGCTAGGTCTCCTTGGTCTTAATATAATTAGTATGGAAAAAGCTTTGAATTTGTTCCTGTGAAATTCCCAGGGACGTGTCTGCATCCTGCCCGTGGGCTTCTGGCAAAACCTGTTTTGTATTCTGATATAAGGTGACCCGATATCAAAGCCTTATACCCTCAGCAGGTGAAGATGATGATACTGGACACTGAAGGGATCTGGGACTCTGAAAAGCATCATTTGCAATTAGTTTGAGGGTAGGTAGCTCAGCTGGCTGGCTTTCAGGTTGTCAGTTACCATGAAAAAGTATCTGCTGGATATTGAATACCTATGACAGTAATAGTATCCTGGGTATCAATCAGTTGGAAAATAAATCCTTTCAGGGTGGGTCAGATGTTGTTGGTCTTTAATTTCCACGGGCCAGATCATTTTCTGGTCCTGATGTAAGCATTCAGAGGACTTGAAACCATTCTTTTTTGGCCACATATGAGTGAGGCTAAAACAGCCGCCATCCATTTTCAGCTTGTACCACCTACTGAGCCAACCCATCCCCAACCACGGTCAGCTGCTCGTAAGGGATCCCCCATATGGCTGTGGCTTTGGGTTGAGAAAACGACAATGTGGTTGACAAGGGGTTCTGAGCTACCGGCTCACACAACTTGCTTGTGCCCTTTGATCTTGCTCATTTGGGATCCCAGACATACTATTTCCATCTTGTGATGAATTGCTGCTGGGCTCACTGGACACTATGACTTGGTGGGTCTGATAATAGGCCCACGCTCATGCTGAGCAGTTCTGGATGCATGATTGCTCTGGTGGTGTCCCATGGCCAACCACTCGACCTCACACGTAGCCCAGGAGCAAATGAGAAGGTGTTTTTCTTTAATTTTTTTTTTTTAACTTTTATTTATTTTTGAGAGACAGAGCATGAATGGGGGAGGGGCAGAGAGAGAGGGAAACACAGAATCCAAAGCAGGCTCTAGGCTCTGAGCTGCCCAGACGCAGGGCTCAAACCCATGAACTGTGAGATCATGACCTGTGCCGAAGTCAGACGCTTAACCGACTGAGCCACCCAGGAGCCCCGAGAAGGTGTTTTTCAAGAGGCCTTGAATTATTTCCTGCATGGGACATGGCCGTGTGCAAGACGCCCAGGGCCTGTGTGGTCATCCTCCACTGGGGATTACTACACACTCCACACGGCGTCCCTTCCCACAGCTACTATCTCTCACGCTATAGGGTCTGCCGGTTCACAGGCCCAGGTGACAGGACTCCTTGTGCACCAGAACCGAGACCTGCTGTAGAGCTCTTCTCTTCTCTGAGTCCCACTTAAGGCTGGTGGACTTTGTGTTACCCACTATGGAGACTGAAGCATATTCCCAGGTGTGGCACATGCCACCTGTAGAACCTCAATGCGCCGAGGTAACATTTTCAAGGTTGAAGGTGTAAGATATAATAATTTGTCTTTTCCTTTGGAGAGGATTTACTGGCATGCCTCTTGCCACTCGTCTCCAGGATTTTTATTGATGAAGTCCCTTGAATCTTTGTAAGGCTTATCTTTTACCTTCTGGAGCACATGAGTCTTTCCAAAGCCTCCGGCACGCTAGACTTCTCAACTCATCCTGGCCAATTAGCATAATGTTATATACGTGATGCATCAGTGTGATTCTTTGTGGGATATCCACATAGTCCACACATCTTAGTATATTGTTACCAGTGGAAGGAGAGTTGACATGGCTCGGGGTTTGTACAGTCCTGCCTATTCCATGTGAATGGAAACTGTTTCTGATCTCCCTTTCTTTAACAAATGTTTATTCAATTTTGAGAGAAAGCATGAGTTGGGGAGGGGGAGGAGGGAGAGGGGGACAGAGGATCCCAAGCTGGTTCTGCACCCACAGCAACAAGCCTGACGAGAGGCTTCAATTCACGAATTATTAGACCATTACCTGAGCCAGACACTCAACTGACTGAGCCACCAAGGTGCCCCTGAACTTCTCTGATTAGAAAAGAAGATATGTCAAATCAATGGCCAGAAAAATACCACATCTGGCATAGTGGCTGCAATTGGGCTGTTCTTTAGTTGAGTTTTCAATATTCCACTCTAGAGCCTGTTTGTTTCTCCATGGGCCAGACAGGAGAATGAAATGAAGATCTGATGGGTACCATCATCCTGCATCCCTTTTTAAAAAAAATTTTTTTTAACATTTATTTATTTTTGAGACACACACACACACACACACACACACACACACACACGCACGCACACAGAGAGAGAACAGAAGCAGGGTAGGGGTAGAGAGAGACAGGGAGACACAGAATCTGAAGCAGGCTCCAGGCTCCGAGCTGTCAGTACAGAGCCTGACGTGGGGCTCACACTCACAAACTGTGAGATTGTGACCTGAACCGAAGTTGGACACTTAACCAACTAAGCCACCCAGGCACCCCCTTTTTTTAAAAAAAAAATTTTATCGACCAACCTTCATCCTTTAGGTCCTTAAGGGTAGCATTGATTCCTGCCATCTCCCCACCCCTTGGACCTGATATTTTTTAAAAGTTGGTGGTGGGCATTTTCAGAGGCTTCAGTTTGACTTTCCCCACCATAATACCCCTTATCTCACAAGTTGAGGCCCCAACTTGTGTTATAACTACTGACAAAAGCATTGATTAAGCATGCCAGTCCCAATTATGAATTCAGGAACAAGGTAAATCTTATTTGGTGGGTCCACAGACCCAGTGGACTCCATCTATCACATCATAACCCCCTCCTGCAAAGAGGAGGACCAGAATGATTCATTGTCACAAATCGGGAATAGATGGTAAATATCAAAAGAATGGCACTGATGGTGATGGTTACAGGAACTGGAAGAAAAACATTGGAGCCGAAGACCCTTATTCTAAGATCCTTATAAATACAGCATATTCCTGGAGTGGATGCTTGGGGGATTTATATGTAAGATGAAATTTATGTAATGTAAATTTAAATGTATATGTATATCTGCAAATAATCAGCAGGGGTGCATTATTTTTATTTCAGAAATAGATATCTCCACCCCCTCCCCAAAGAATCTCAGACACTTGCATCAAAATAAAATAAATTACTCATTGGAGCTTACTAATTTTGAATTGACAGGCACGGATCCAAGGGAAATATGGATATGAGCAAGTAACAAGAACACGTCAGCTGCAGTACTTTCATCCTTAAGTGTGTTGCCCTTGACAGTTTTAATAACTATTTCTGTCTAAGTTACAAAGCTTTGTACTGTCTGTTTGGCTTTTAGTTAAATTGGCTCCCTGAAAAAGGAATATATGCTAACGCTCATGCTCCAGTTGCTTTCAAGTAAAGCAGATTAGCAATATCATGCATCATGTCGGTTTCTGCTCAGTAATCACAAATGTTGACATGTTTCTTCAAAAATGTATTCACTACATCTGCTGCTTTCTGAAAGACTGAAATAGTGGCTCTTTTTATGGAAATGGCATTAATGGCATATTGATAACCACGTTTGGTTACAATACACATTGTGAGATCCATATGCAGAATAAAAGGCCCATCTCTCTTTCCAAATGGATTGCTACTAAAACTCTCAGAACTCTCAGCTCTGGCTCAGCTGAGTAGGCAAGTGGCCCAGCAGGAGTCGGTTCCTTTGCCTTGACTGTCTTTCACAGTAATGAGGGCCTTTAGTATTTGGAAGGGACATCAAAGGTCATCTGGTGGCAAGAAGATCCCACATCTGACATTGCATTTATCAGATTCTCCTGGGGAGCTTAAAAATACATCCATCGCCGTCCTTATGCAGGCCCAGTAAATCAGAATACCTGGAAGAAGAACTTGAAAAACATCAGCCAGATCTGGGGATTGCTGATCTGGTCCAGCTGCCTTCATGATTTCAGTAAGTCTTCATATTTAGAGTCAGAAGTACGTAGGTCTTGTTAAACTTATCTCCAACATCTGGTTGTTGAACTATTTGTGAATGTCCTTGCACGGACAGACCAGAGCCATTGGGTTTTTATCTGATGGGGCATCATGTCCTGTTCATCTCCATATCCTCCCACATAGCCTCTGCTGTGCCTTGTTCAGAGCCACAACATAACATAGTTTGAGTCAGATGAATTAATAAACTTAGGTTTTAGACTTTCTTTCAGACAAAAAGGGAAAAAATAAATGTCATTCTTATTTTCTTTTTGTACCTAAACATTGGCTGTATCAGAACAAAAACTGTTGTAATTATTTAAAAGCATGAAGTGGATTCCTTACCCATACGGAGGAATTTGAAGTTCTTCATTGCCATCTGCTGGAGTCAGTGTTGCACTAAATCCAAACTGCTGTAGTATACCAAAGCTTCCCCCGTAAAACAGTTTATATGGCTAATAATGCTGGAACTCCTATCCCCCCCAGGCCCCAGGCTAAAAGCCAGGTGCCACCCGGAGACATGTGGATGCAGAGTTGTGGGGAATGAGGAGGCATGGATTCCAGCCAGGTATCTCCAAATTTTGTCGTTCCAGACACGTATTCATGCTCAGCTGCCTTCACTTCTGGGGGCAAAGTGGAAGCTTCTATAGTGAATGGTTCTGATCCTTGAGCTCAGAGAGAACGCTCCTTTCCCAGTTGTTTGGTGGGAGAGTGAAGCTGAAAGGGAAGCAGGCTCAGCGTCCCGGGACTGAAGCTGTGTGTGCGCTGGGCACACGTGAGCCCGTGGTGTCCTCTGTGAGGTGGAGACCCGAGCTACTCACAGACTAACACATGCCTCCTACTGTTAGGACAAACTGTCTGGAAGCATCTGTTTACTTATCCTTAACACAGTGTAAATCAGTAACTTTATTCATCCTTTCTCATCCTTCTGTGAGGATGTAAGGTGGGTCTGTGTCCCTGAAGGACCCTTCCCTGGGTCTATTCCACCCTGTCCATTACTTATAGCAGGAGATTATTAAGGACATTGAAGAAAAAGTGCATCCTATTCCCTATTATAAGAAGGATGGGTCTTTTCTTGCTTTTTCAACATATATGAGACAGGATGACCCAAACCAAGCGAACCTGAACTCAAAGCCTCAAATTTGCTGGGATAACTCGAGGACAGTGTTGTCTCTGGGCTGGATGGCCCTTCACTATCACGGGAGTGGAAGAAACTCTTCCTTCCCGTGCTATGGCTGTGGCTGGGCAGATGGAGGGGACGTACTTACCTGGAGCTCTAAGCACTTATGTGTGCTGGCATAGGTGTGCTTTACTTACATGATGCCCTTGCCCCTGGGCCTGCATCAAGCTGCATGTTAAATAGGGGATGTGTAGTAGGTTTTTGTTGCCCTGAGTCCTGAAGCGTGAGACCTTTATCGGTCTCCGCGGGACACATTCTGCCTTTCTCTTCTCCTGGGTCCTGACTTTTTTGTTCTTTTTCCCTTTTCCCAGGCCCACCTCCCCCTTGGCATCTGACCAATCCTCAGCCATGACTTAGTTCTAACAGGTGACAGGCAAGAAAAGTAGCCAACACTTGGAAGAGGAGAGACTGGGGCAGAGGAGGGTTGGGCGGGAGCGGGCCCAAGAAAGAGTTTGAGTTGGGTCATCATTTCAGCGCTAGGGCCACATCCTCCCTGAAGCTATCTGTGATGATGACCCTACTCCCCCTCGTGACCCACCATTATCTGTACCTTTCATGGGGGCCACTTGTCACATTCTGCCTTACTTAAAGGTGCTACATACAGATAAGAACTCCTCTGGCTTATCATCTGTTCTGGGGCAATTTTCAACTTTCAAAACAAAAAAAAAAAATCATCTTTCTATCCTGCACATCGCAAAAAACACCATGTGACTTACTTTTAATATTAAATACTTGTTGAACCAATGAAAGCAGGAGATGGGAGCTGGGTTTCAGCCTGAGGCTTGTAGCTCACAAAGAACAAAACCTCCCAGTGTAAAGGGAAGTGAGAGTGTGTGGACCCACTGGTTGGGACATTCCTGGGGAAGAAAGAAGTTATCCCGTAGATGTGCCAAAAAGTCTCCATCAGAAGTAATTCAACCTCATTGGGGTGCCTGGGTGGCTCAGTTGGTTAAGCGTGGGACTCTTGGTTTCAGCTTAGGTCACGATCTCACAGTTCACACGTTCCAGCCCCGCGTCGGGCCTTTCGCTGACAGCACGGAGCCTTGGGGATTCTCTCTCTCCCTCTCTCTCTCTCTCTGTCTCTCAAATAAAGTTAAGTTGTTTTTTTTTTCAAGAAGAATTTCAACCTCAGAATGCAATGGCTAATAAATTTAGGAAGTGAGTGAAGTACAAATTATAAATGAGTACATATATTTAGATGTTCATTTATTTGATGCGTAGAATGAAAGTTTTCACAATTAACGTAAACCCACAGTATGAGTGCAACAGAAGGCAAACTGAAAGTGTATAGATGACATTTATCCAGTTTCTGAATAAAAACCAACTATGCAAAGCCGTGTTTGGCTCAGGAGCGCAGCTCCATCATGTGGTATTTAATAATCCCCACCAGCCCTCCTGTATTGGCTACAGATGTGGTTCTTCCTGTCAGTCATGTGGGCACTATCCCTGCAGCAAGTGCAGTAGGTAATAGAGATAGGTTGCACTGAAGTTAGCAATGTCATGGATTATGTAGCTCACCCTGATGTCCTAAATGTTGTGGTACTGTGCTCTGAGTCTGAAAGTCAAATAAGAGCTGGACCCATTAAGAGTAGAAATATTGAACTCACATGGCCTGAAAAAACAAAAACTGAGCTCATTTAGTAAGGCATGCTTGCAATTCTCTGCAATTAAAAACTGTTGGTAACCATGCTGGATAGGGACCCTCCGTTTTCAAGCGTAATTACAAGAATGAACCGAGGGTTTGCGATCTGCTCACTAGAGGGTGGTAGACACTAAAGAGCTGCCTTCTCAAGGAGCGCTGAGCTGGATTGACCAAGACTCAGGAAAACAGATGCCAGACTTCTGTGACAGGGCTGTCTTTTCATAGATTTTTAAAAAAGGATCCTTTACTAGTATGGTCAATAAATCAGAATAATTTTTAAATTGTTTTTCTAATTTTACTGTAAATGTTCACTGGAGGAAAACAGAAAAGTAATAGAGATACCCTAACATATGAAGAGCATTTTAATTCACTTATAAAGTCCACATTGAGAACCAAACATGATTAATAACAGGTTTAACCACAGACTTGTTGGAAGCTGAACATTCTTAAGCAACACAAGCCACGATTTCATATGGTTTCACTTAGTATTTTGGTGTCTATCTTTATTTTCTTTCCTATGCTTATAAAGTGTTAATGATTTATTTTTTACTTGATATTATACAGAGACTATGTATTAACGTTCATGTATGAATATATTACTTATAAGTTTATGTCTAGGCTTTGCATATTATGTGGATCAATATTAGATTATTCTCTAAGTTTTGAAAGGTAGTTTTCAAGGAAATGAATTATCAGTCCAAACTTTGTCTGAAATCACTCAGTTTTCCGTAACTGTAATTTTTTTCAGCTGCTTAACAGAGACAAAAAAGGCGACAGCTAATGAATATCAGTTGTATCAATTGTATCTTGCTTGTATCAAGCAAGATAGAGAATAAAAAGCAATGGTTCTTGATATCAAAGATTGTGTCATCTAGCCAGGGAAATGACACTAACAGCATTGCAGGAATGAATGATGGTGAAGTAAGCAGAATGCCAGTGCCAGTCCAATATTCCTGTAACATTGAGTTGTAGACCCTGCCTGCTGAAGAAGCTCCGAGAAGGAATCAGAGTTAGGTGAACTTTTCCAACAGGCCTCCTGGAAGAAGCAGAATTCAGAATACAGTTTTGAGAAGGCAGGGACTGTGCCTAGCTTCTTCATTACTGCATCCCCAGCATTCAGGGTGAGGCCTGGAAGGCAATTCGTTTCTTAAAAACATCAGCACCTCTGCTCTTTTTATGTAAGAATGGTGATACTGCCCTCCAGGGGAGGATGTGTCATTGAAGATATTTTCCAGTCCTGTGAGGAGGCCATTCACTCATGTATCAGGTTTTCCTACTATCTTTTATTAGAGAAGTAATGAGGTTCTGGAACACTGTCTAGGGCCCTAAGTCAGAGTGCAGGTCATTAGCTCTTGTTGCAGGTGAACTTTTAACCTTAGCTTCACGAGCACGGAATGAGCTAATCTGCCACCGGTGATATATAAAATATGCTCAGCAGAAGTATATTGTTTTTTTCTTTTTCTCTGTTGTCTTGAAAGACCTAGAATAAAAGGGAAAAAATGGCTAAGAGAAGCTTAAAGGTATGGGAAGATGTGTGGTGATGGAGTTTTTTTCCCTCTGTAGTCTCTTGAAACATTCTCACACAAAATCCTGTTCTGAATAAAGTATGAAGGCTAGAATGAAAATTGCAGTGCACGGTTAAGCCAGGCATTCAAAATGCCTTACAGATTTTGAAACTATATTCTGGTTTTAATTTTTTCATGCTATATGATCGGTGCTGGCTGTAGGCCATGCATCCTCTCAAGTTGGAAACCTCTTGCCAGGCAGAACATTGCTGGAAGCTATTAGAGACGCCAGCTCTGTCAACACAGGACACCCGTGGGCTTAGCTATCCTGCATGGGCCTAGGGCTGAGGTAAAGAACTTATATTAGATGCATTTGAATTTTGTGACTCAGTGACCACATTTTCCAGCTTTGAGGGCCAGGCAAAAGACATAAACAGGTTTACCCGAGATACAAAATCTGGCTACAGTTTGCTGGATTGCACACAAAATACTGAAGTAGCTTAAACATTTAAACATTAGTGTTGCCTACTACTTTAGGAACTACAATCCCCTGCTAGATTCAGTGTGAACTGGTTGCAGTGATGGTAGAAAACAAGAACGCACTGAAACTTCTGAAATGTTAATGAAGCTATTATTGCAGAAGGAACCCTGCT